GAAAATTGGAAAAAAGTAAATCTTAAAAAAAACAAAAAACTTTTCTCCCTGTAGAATCCAAAGCAACAGAACACTTGACCTATGGTAAAGAATCAGCAGCAGATTATCATCAAGACAGTTTCCTCCCTTAACTAGCTCCTTTAGAATCCAGTGGCATCTTCAAGCCCTCATTTTTAACATTTCATTCATTTTAAAAATGCTCAAATACTACTACCCGTGTTTTCACCATTTATCGCTATACTTTTCTGAAGAAAAGCTTTATGATTCTGATGATATATGTATCTCAGCATACATGTTATTCCAAATCTAGACTCAATTAACTATTTGGTTAAGGGCCTGAACACATTCTCTAAAAGGCAAACATGTACATTGCCAATTAAGGAAATAGGTGGCCATAATATTTATCACCAGAGAAAAAAATTTTAAGATACATAAAATATCAACAAGAGCCAAGATAATTTAAGAAACATTCCAAAATGTAAACACAGACTTTTATAGATAAAAAGAACTTGAGAGATCTAAAATCTTTCTCTATGTGTACCTACATCAACTATTTTCCTATATTTCTATCAGATTTACACCCATTTAACAAAATATTAAAAATTTATGAAGAGAAAACATTAACAGCAATACCTAGTAATAGGACTAGTGGGTATATGTGAATCTGGAATTACAAATAAAGACAGCTATTTATTTAGGGTAAATATGGATAGGTAATTCAGATATATATTTTCTTCTAAACTTAGGATTCAAGCATGCCTTGAAATGTAAAACCTGTATAAAGTCACAAAACTAAGAAATTATATGTCTTGCATTAGGGAAGAAAAGATCTATTATTACTCTGTGACTCAGCACAGTTCTGTTTTATTTCAACAAAGATCTGTGTTCCAAACACAGATACAATGATAGGGTTTACAACTATAGGATAAAGTAGTGATAACTTTAATTGAAATACCACATTGCTATGTAAAACACTCATATCCAAACAGGGCAAAGAAAAAAACAAAAAACAAAAAAACAAAAAACAAAAACAAAGTTGTGTTTAAGAAGTTCCTGAATCAATGTATATCAGCAATTAAGTGCATACTTAATATTTACATAAATTTGAAAAGAATATATACATACCAATACAAGTTTTTTAAAAATCAGGAAATTATAATTATTAAAACCTTTATCATCTAAAATACTATTTTATTACACTTATATTGGCTGCAATGGACAAACTATCAAATATTAGTCTTGAAATCATGGGACACATTACATTTGTGGTCCAAACATCAACAAAGATAGAGTGCCTTTCCCCCCCTTAAACAGAAATCAAGTACCTAACATTATGCCAAAAATACAATAGCAGATTGCCCATTCAGAACATAAAAATAGTCACACTAAAATCTATTCACAGTAAGGGTCCTATGTTTTTAAGTTACAAATCTCTAACTTTTAAAATTTAAACTTTAAAACATTTCTAAATAGCTGAATCTGAAGATCAAACTTTGAATTTCCCAATTCTAAGAATCTTTTAAACCAGTTTTAAAAAATAGATGTCTATTAGTTAATTCAATGTTACAAACATTTATTCTACAACTATCAGTATGTTCATAAAACTGTAGTTGTCAGAAACCATACGGAAATACTTTTCACAGTGTGAATTACCTGCTTTACTTGGATTCAAGTGCATTTTGACAGGAACATATATAAAAACAACAACAACAAACCCCAGCTGCTTTAATTCTGAACAACAACAACAACAAAAGCTTTCATTTTTAATGACAGAAACCCAACATAAAAGGCTATCAGAATAAAAAACAGTATTTTTAAGAGGGGAAAAATATAATTCCATATACCTGTTTGAATCTTGACTCTGTGTAGTTTTGATGTGAACTGATCATTAACTGTAAATATGTGACCATTTTCTATTTCCTTTGACTTGGGTTCTTTGGTGAGAACCCGCTGTGTTGGTTTACCACAGGCGAGGGACTGCAGGGCTCGAACAAGTTCTCTTTCAGGGATATCTGTCTCTTGCTGAATTTCCTGCAATTTCATCATACTGACATAATTAGATTTTTGAAAAATTAGATTAATCAGTAAACAAAAATGACCAAGTAATAGAATTCTATTGAAGTATTTTTAAAACAAAAAAATCTGATTATTATACTTCACTAATATTTCAGTTATTTGAAAAAGGAGAAAAATACTATTCAAATGACAATATACTGAAAAGATGGTACTTGTTTCATGTATATAATAAATAGCTAGTTTAAAAATAAACTAGCATATTTAGGGTTTGATTATTAGGAACCTGCATTTATTAGGGCAAGGTTATTAGGGACTTGGTAAAACTAAAATGTATGACTGCCAATTTGGCAGTAGTCTATCTTCCCTCCAAGTTTATCAACACTGTTCATCTGTGTTTAGCAACTTCCACAGAAAGCAATGAAAGCCTGAGTTCAGGCCGCCTATCACACAATCAAAACTTACAATCCAAGTTGTCCATAAACAGCTTGTTATAAACTGTATGCAAAAGACTATCTGGTCATTAACACTAAACATGAAAACCAGTAAGAAATATGTCTGGAAGTGCAGTGATAATGTTGGTTACATATTACTGTTTGAATAAAAATACTTAAAAAAAAAAAGTCAAGAAAAACCTGAAATGTTTATTAACTCACTATTTTCTTATCTCAGTAGGACAGCCAGACAACTGTCCACTTATAGTTTAGTTCCTACATATCACTGAGGATGACTGATATGTCTTCACACTGGATCACATTACTGTGATTATTCAATTCATAAGCTGTTTCTCAAAAGCAACTTGGGAAAAGCGGGCAAGACAATGGTGTCCTTTTTATTAAGAGGCTCTGAGCAGCACTTCAGAAGGAAGTGGAATCCTGGCAGGGAAGTGAGGATTGAGAGAAATGCAAATTTTAGTAATAATGCACACTGTCCTCTGCTACATATGACCCCTAGTTCTTGTCTACCTATTTTAACCACTTCAAATATTAAAATGGTAACACCTGCAAATTAAATAGGTACTGTTAGTTAATATAATGTTGACTGAAGTCACCTATTTACATATTCCAGTGTTAATAGTTTAAGAACTACAAATGCATTCTTAGGTGGTATTCTGCAATCACAGAGGTAATTATTACAATCCTTTAGGTAGCCCTCTATGCCTTTTCCTATATATCCACACACCCAGGGCTATGAAAGTACGTATATACAGTGTATACATGTACATGTTCTTCTATATACTAGCACTAGTGCTAAAGATAAACGGGATTATATGAAATGAATTCCTCTATTAATTTCTTGGAGACGTTCCATTATTAGCATCAAGAGATTAAAGTTACAGGAAATTTCACATTCAATCATCACTTGAGTGATTATCAAATTCTGTGTCAGATTATGCGTTTCTGTATTTGAGTAAAACGGCAGGCTTTCTGAAGACTTCTTGATATGTATCTGTGTCCTCAAGTTGTAAGGCTGTTTAATATGGATAAAGCCCTCACACAGTGTTTTCAGTTTGTTTAAACACTAACTTCACAGTAGGAAAGTTCTTAGGGAATAGTTTCCCCGACATAATTTTCTGTTTCTTTTACTCATCTGTTGGGTTAAAATGTATCCCATTATTTTACTATTTCCATGGCCACTAGGAGAACAAAAATTTAAAAATCTTTTATATTTCAGGGTTATATTAACTATTCCATGCTTTGTCCACTCATACGCCAATTTTTTTTTAACATTACAACTTCTCCTAGTCTCTTTACCTTTAGCTTGTATTTTATCACAGATATTTTATTACTTTTTTCTTTTTTAAAGATTTATTTGTTCATACAGAACTGGGGTACAGGCCAGAGGCTCAGGGGCGGCGAGAGGCTTCACCAGGGACAGAGTGGGGAGAACAGGCAGATGGACGAAGTACACTGCTGAGGGGAGCAGCGGGCGGGTCAGGAGAGGTCTGCCACGCCATGTGGTCACCTCCACGGCAGGCAGGGATCGAACTCATGCGGAAGCGGCTTTAGATTCTCAGTGCTGTGCTTTAACCCGCTGAGCCACCAGGGAGGGCCTATTTTGTTACTTTTTAGGTAGTTCAATCTGTCAGTTTTCCCTGTTTATGTAATAGGCTCAAAAAAAGGTCTTTCTCATGTCAAGTTTATCAAAATAGTTTATATTTTCTTCTATTATTGTTATAGACTTGTGCCTCTAGGGATCTAGAATTAAACTTTGTATTTGATTTCAAATACATAACTAAAGTCCCATACTACTCTCTTCCCATTCCCACAAAAGCAGCAATTAACCCAGTTCAGTGAGAAATAGCAAATTCATCACCCAAACATATCTCTGTATTTCTGTTTCTGAACCCTGTAATTTGTTGAAAGGAACTATCTGTCTGCATTTGCTAAAAATTAATTTTGACTTTAAGGCCTATTTTGATACTACGACAAATTCCTTACCCTTAAGAGTGGACGTCTCCACTCCAAGCCTGTTCCTCTGAAAAACCTGTTGCCTATTATTGGGCATTTCTGTTGTCCAGATGAATTCTGGCATTAACTTGCCAAGTTTCATAGAACACAAATCTTTTGTAGAAGCTGTTGGGGTTTTCAGTGAATTTATAGGTGATTTAAAACAAACAAACAAACAAACAAACAAACAAACAAAAGCCAAACACGCTCTCCCTGATGGTGCAGTGGTTAAAACACAGCACAAAGAAGCTAAAGCCATGTCAGCATGAGTTTGATCCCTGCCCCGGAGGTGACCCACATGGTGCAACAGACCTCTCCTGGCCTCCCTGCTGTTCCCCTCAGCAGTGTACTTCACTCAATCTGCCTGTTCTGCTCCCTACTCTGTCTCTGGTGAATCCTCTCACTGCCCTGCACCACTGGCATGGTTTTCCCAGTTCTTATGTGCATAAATAAATATATCTTAAAAAAAAAAAGGCAGTTATTTCTTAATCATATACCTCACATAAATGGTAGTGTGGAGGATGGGTATTAAGATAAAGAATTTAATCTTGCTTTTAATTTCAAACACAACAGGTATTTATTACTATGTTTACTTATATCTGAAAATTGGTTTTCAATTAAGTATAAATATAGCAGTAATTTTGCAGCTTTTAAAAATATTGTTTACCTTAAATTTAAACTTAGTGAATATCACATTATTCTCATTTAACCTCCAACATACCCTTTTTAAAGGTACTGGAAAAGACTAAATGAATTTAAACAGGTCATGGCTTAATGGTAAGGGAAGAAAGTAATACAAAGTCAAAGCACTTTATAACAATTAGCTATTCAAAGGGGGGAAAATGGGTGCAATAAGGAATTTGACACTCAAGAAAAAGTAAAATTAGCACAATGATATGGAAATAAATGGAATAGATCAAACAGTGCAGAAATAGACCAAAACATTTCAAGTTTATATTCAACTGACTTTAATAAAGGCACTAAGATAATTCAAAGGAAAAGAAATAGTTTAGACATGATGCAGGAAAAGAACAATTTTTGTGTGTAAAGTAATTCTTAACCCCTAACTTGATTCATACAACAAAATTAACTTGAAACTAGTCATAACCTAGTTAAAGCTATAAATCACTTACAACAGAAGAAAATCTTTGTAAACTCAGGGTAGCCAACAGTTTTTTAAGCAAGACATTTTAAAGTCATAAACTATGAAAGGAAAAAAGTGGTTGCTGAACTGCTGTCAGTATTTAAAAATTCTGTTCTATAAAACAACAACAAAGACAAGGAACAGCTTGTGAAAAAATATTCACAGCACACAGGTCTGACAAAGAGCTTATATCCAGAATGTATAAGGAGCCTTTAAAATCCCAATAAAGATATGACAGACACCTCCCCAACAAGATATGTAAGTGGCACATGAACACATAAAAGATGTTTAACATCACCAGTCGTCAAGAAAAAGCAAATTAAATCCGTAATGGTATGTAATCACATCCCAGCTAGAAGGCTAAAGGAAAAGGACCAGTAGGGGCCCTCCCTGGTGGCACAACGGGTGAAAGCATAGCTCTGTGATGATGCCCGCAACACAATGGTGACCCACACAGTGCAGCAGACCCCTCCTGACCCACCCACTGCTCCCCTCGACAGTGTGTTTTAGCACATCTGCTTGCTCTGGTCCCCACTCTTCCTCTGGTGAACCCTCTCACTCCCCGCACCTCTGTTCCTGTATGATTAGGGGGAAAAAAAAGACCAGTACTATCAAATTCCGGAGTAACATTCTACTCTGCTGGCAGAATGTGAAATGGCTCAATAGCACCATATGGATAGTCTGGCAATGTCTTCAAATGGTAAACTTTTATAGCTCTATTCCAAATAGCCTAAATCTGATCATAACTTAACACAAACAGGTGAATAAAGAAGTTCACACATCCATATGATGGATTATTACTGAGCAATAAAAAAGAAACCAAACTACTGAAATTATACACATAACAATATGGCTGAATTTCAAATATATTCTATTATGCGAAAGCAGCAATACATATGATTCCATTGTATGAAATGTTAAAAAGGCAAAACTAGTCTACAGTGACATAAAGCAGATCACTGGCTACTTGGGTTCGGGGATAGACAGAACTGAGTACAAAAGAGTATAAAAAACTGGGGGAGGGGCAGTAATCTATCTGGACAGTAGTTGAACAGATCTACATATCTATTAAAGCTCTTCATTTTGTGTACTTAGATGAGTGTGTTTTATTATATAGTACCTTTACTTTAATACAGCTGATTCTTACAAAGCCTATGACATGACCCACTAAATACATGATGTTCACATGATTTCAATTTTACAGTTTTTTTCAAATGGTACTTCAAAGATCACTCAAATTCACTGAATACCACAATAATTCTGAAACTCAAAAAAGATGCAAGCAGCAGGTGAAAATTATAAACAATAAAAACGGATTAAAATTTATGTAATTGCAGCCCATACCTCAAATGTGTATTTTTCTCTATTATTGAAGAGCATTAATATGGTCATCTGGAAAGTGGACACTTGTAATATGTGCTTCCGTGTATTAGAGCCAGTTACTTGTGCTCCTCCAACACCAACTTCAGATCCATCTTCCTGTTTCATTTTTTAAAAATAGAAAATAAGACATAATTATTTCCTGTAACTTGAACTATGTTCAAAAACAAAAAAAATTAAATCCTATAATGTCCCCCCCTTTAACAAGCCTGTATAAATTATTCCTATATAAAAGGAATGCCATTCAAACAATGTGTATGTATCCATACATGTACGAATATGGATGTGTACACACAATATTTAGGGCTTTACTATTTTCTATTGTGAACATACAATCACCAATTCGAAAATTGCTTTAATAGTACAACGTGAAATAATATAGAATTATGAAATTTCACTGCCATTACACCACTACCAAAAGAGGTAGGGTTAAGTTTCTTCTGTGTGATTTGACAGAATGGAGGGGTAGGGAGAATGGCTGCTGTTCTGAAAGCCTGTTCCTCCTGTTCTAGGAGTTAAGGAACACAAAACAGAATTAAAGCTTCAATAATTAACATATGAATTGCTTTTAAAATTGACTTTTGATTTTTATGTTTTAATAAAGCTTAACAAGATAAAACTTTAATCAGAAAAAATCCTCCCCTTTAAAGCAAAAATTAAAAGCTGAGCTCTTGACCTTTCCTCTTACACTGAAATTTGTAACAGCGTTAAACAGTTCAACTAAATGAACTGTAAGGAACAATTCCCATTTTAGAAGAACAGGAAAATCAGGACAGGTTTTTTAAGTTAGGTGTTAACAGTGACATAAAAAAAGCTATGAAGATTCTAATAGTTTTATGGAGAAAACTTACCTTGTTGCCTGGAGGACAAATTAAGTCTTTCTCTTTTAATGTTTTTCTAGAATTTTTTAAATCATTTTTCTTTTAAAGCATATGGCCCGGACTTTAAATGTGGCCAAGCAAATTATATTTCACAAATCTCATGTTAATTTTCCAGACTTTGATTTATTGAAAATAAGGAATATAGGAAACCCAAAAGAGTTTTGAAAAGGAAATTTTTACAGCTTTGTTATATTCTCAAATCAACTTATACTATTATTTTATGAATACTATCTCAAATCTAACCTTAAAATAAAATATGTAGTTACTATTTACTCCTTAAGGAGGCTACTGATAGTTTTCTATTGTCAAATGAAGCTGAGGAAATAAATGTAAATAAACTAAAGCCAAAGTTTCCAACTTTAAAATATTTGTAACAGGGAAATCAGAAAATTTACCCAGGTTAACAAAAATCACAAATCAGACATATAGACTGTAATTTTAAGTTCCTTAAATGTAAATATGTTCAGACTATCATTATTTACCTTTTTAACTGGTCCATAAAAGGTAGCATTGAGATCTGCAGAACCCATATGATGCTGGAGTGTGAGCTGGCGACCACTGTGTTTGGCTAAGTAAAACCTTCAGCAAACCAAACCAAACCATGTTTTAGGGAATCATACAATTTACAAAGTTGAAATTATAAACTGCAGGAAAACAACCCTTCAGAAACATACATGTGAGGGAGACTTTAAAAAGTTAAATGAAATCTTAAGAATCAAATTCAATTCCTTTTTTCTTTAAACAGAGAAGAAAAAAAGGGAGGCCAGAGAGGGTGGAAGAAGGGGGTGGGAAAGAGGGGTGGGGGGAGGGAGAGAAGAAGGAGGGGGAGAGAGAGGGAGGGAAGGGGAGAGAGAGAAGGAAAGAAAGAGGAGAGGCAGCAGAGGGAGAGGGAGAGAGAAAGAAGAGAAGAGGGAGAGGGATGAGAGAGAGAATGGGGAGCAAGAGAAGCCTAACGAGCTTGGCTGGGTAGTAAATGATAGACACCCTGTAACTGGCTTATTAGTTTGCCCCTGCTGCTGAGCAGTCACTTCTCTTCACAAGCCCCTCAGTCCAGTAACACTACAATCAATTCTACCCCCAACAGCCAGTGGCAGACATAACAATATAAAACATATTTAGTATGCACTAAGTAAATCAGAAGGACATTAATAAAATATTACTCTCAGAAGGATTAATACAACTAATTTTTATACACTGAAATATATATTTCTCTTTTTGAACTTAAGTTCAAAATGGAATACATTCATTCTCATTCCAGATAGCACTAATATTCAAATGTGTAACTATGGACAATCCTTGGACTTAGAAATACAAAGCTTGATATAGGTTGTACCTTCTAAATATCTCAAAAGCATGTCTTGGTGCTGGTGGGATGTTGCACTTTGGTGTGGCTGACTGAGTGGGCCAATATCCTGTCGTGAGCACCCGAACTGTAAGATCAACACCACCTAAAGAGACCTGTAGAGAAAAGAAAGCAAGGTTTTTCACAAATTAACTTGTTATCCATTCCAGCTACATGCTGTAGTAGTTATGAAATTAATTAGTTCATGGTTCAATACCTAACATACCACTTCAAAGGTTAGACCAATACTTTATTTCCCAATTGTTTACTGTGGCAAATATTTATATTGTAACTTAGGTTGATTTTAAGATACTGACCAAAGGGTCTTAGTTTGTAAGCCACATTTTCATTAAGTCTCTGGTAAGTTCATCATTTTGGTAAGCCTTTTTAGATAAAATGTCAAGGACTATATATATCACTAGACAACAACTTTAGGGTAGTTTCTACCATCTCAGAATTCACACAACCAACCGATTTCTAATAACCCATTCACACATTTCAACTACAGTGATCAACATTGATAACTGTTTTCACATTGGAGTTCATGTTCTAACTCCTTGTCTACATGTGCAGGCGCTTCAGCAATATTTGCACAATGAATGACTACCTACAGAAAATGCATGCTAGCATCACCGCCGTAATTAGGTAATTTTCTCTTTTTAAACAAATTAAATTTTTAAGAAAATACTTTAAAAAAGAATGAACAAGAATCCTGAAAAGTGAAATATCTTTACTACTGTTAAGTTCACAGTTTGATGGAAGCCATAATTCCATTTTTATCTAGCCAGGATGTCTTAGTGATACAGATTTTAAAAAGGGAGGAACGATAAGTGCATAGGGATGGTAGTGATGGTCCACAGGTGAACTTGTGGTGGGAATTTTAAAGGGACTAGACCTGAGAGGAGGAATCAAACATTGCACAAGAATGAACAATGATGTAAAAAATATATATACGTATATGAATAGATATTTTAAAAATAAAAGACTGAGACTGTAAATATTAGGAAACATTCCGTTCAGATACAAAACTTTAAAGAAGCTCGCACAGTAAGTCCTAGACAATGCATAGGAGAGATGATTATAGCACACTTTCCTAGATGATGAACAGAGGGTTTGACACCATTTGAAGAGGATGGTGTGTGCGTGTGTGAGAGAGAGACAATGCCAGAAACACAACTCAGTGCTCTTTAATTTTAAGATCATTCCTCACAGATGTTACATTTTAAAAAGGAGGCCTTCCCTGATGACCCATCCTTACTACTTTTCTCTGCATCTTCTAAGCATCACCTAATGTGCTGAATGTTTATCACTCAGAGAATAGAAGCTGCAGATGGAAGAGATTTGCTCTATTCTCTTGCAAAGGAAGCATTTAATGGCAGTATTTATTCAATGGGGGAAAAAAAGAGCAACTTAAAGAGACATTATTCTACTGGTTTCGCTTTCTTCTCTTTCCATGCTCTTGGCAGTACTGTGAAGTCACTGAGCTATATTTAGAGAGAGCACGTAACAGAACCAAGTCCCTAAGAGGTGGTGTCACTAAGAAAGTTTGAGAGGACATTATATGATTTGCTGATTTAAAAAATGGTATCAAGATGGTTTCTTGGCCCATCCCATTTTTAAAAATAAACAGTGAAGGCCCTCCCTGGTGGCGCAGCGGGTTAAAGCACAGCACTGACAATCTGAAGCCACTTCCGCATGAGTTTGATCCCCGCCTGCCCCGGAGGTGACCACATGGCGCGGCAGACCTCTCCTGACCTGCTACTGCTTCCCTCAGTAGTGTACTTCGTAGATCTGCCTGTTCTGCTCCCCACTCTGTCTCTGGCGAAGCCTCTCACCGCCCCTGAGCCTCTGGCCTGTACCCCAGTTCTGTATGCACAAATAAATAAATAAAAAATAAACAGTGAAAAAAAAGGACAAAATTTATGTATTTTTCAGTATAGTAAGATCTGTCTAGATAAAATATGGAACAAGTGTTGTCATAATATGAAGAAAGCACTCATTTCATGATTTCTAAAAGTAGGTGGAAATACAAATCTCAATGTATTTCAACACATCAAGAAATTTCAATTAAGAGAATTGTCTACTTAAGGACTGGTGGTATTTTAAAAACTTTCAAAGATTTCAGAAAGTTCAAGATTTGTTTTGATTACCCTGTCACTTCTTGCTAAATCTTTTAATGTAGAATAAGGCTTAGGAGACAGAGCTTAAGATCCTTAGCATAAACAAATACTAAAAATGTCAACAACAGCCTTACAGTTAAGTGGAAAACACAGGTGGATGAGAAGACAGACAGACAGACAGACAGACAGACAGACACACACACACACACAACTACTTGCTGTAGTTTCAAAAAATTATCAAACATTCTACCATAGATGGCAGAAGATACCTGAGTAAGCATCAAGATGAAACATTGAAAAGTTTGTTACAATCGAATGTGTAAAAAGATGAACATATTCTAATGAAATCATCATGTTGAATAATCATCGCTGTCTTCCAGTCCATTTTAATGAAACAAGTGCACATGAGCAGTAAAGAATGAAGATGGTAATTTTCTTATCAAAATACCTTTAACTAATACAGACTTAAAAAACAGTACAAGTACAAATCCCTTAACAACCTAAAAGGGAGGGGGGAACCTATCTAGAATAATCACATTTTTTTAAGATCCTACCATCAGAACTTCTATTTAATCACAAACATTTTCCCTGCTCTCAGCTTTCTCCAGAATAACCATTATAAGGCAAACCATATTGCTACTTACGACAGGGAGAGAACATAAGTTCCTCTGAATCGGAATTCCTAAATATATTTAAATGTTTACTCCTTTCACATATCTTGTTTATGATGAGCTAGGAGACCGAATATCAAAGGGAAAGTCCTGAAAAATGGTTGTGACATGTCTGAACTATAAAGTGGTCAGTTATATGGTCACTTGAGAAATAAAACAAAAACAAACAAAAAAAATTTTCCAAGCTTGAAGCTTAAGCACAGCTGAAAAACAGCCCCCCCCCCAAAAAAAAGAGAAGATATTTATGAGCTCCATTAAATCCTTACCAAAACCCACTGATCTCCAAGGTCCTACAAGTTGTAGCTCCCACTTCTGGGAGTCAGAATACAAAAAAAGCTTTTCATAACACATTAAGTGTCAGGGTTTTATATTCAGTTCATTTCCTACCTACCCCAAGAATGTCAAGCCCATTTACAGGAGGAGAATACTGAGGTACGGGATGACCAGATAGTTGTTCTAAGATAGCATAATCTGTGGGCAAAGTAAAAAGATGAGAATGAAGATTCATCAAGTTTGCCTAAGGCCAGTATTCTTTCCCAATGTTATTGCCAATGCCATTTAATGAAGACAACAGTTCACTGGTGAGATAAAGAGAAATGCCCATCATAAAAGACTCTAAGTAGAAACTAATGCAGAATCTTACTCCAGTTGCTTGTAGATGTTGCCTGAATTCATCCATAGTTGTGTTTGAGATGCTCATATCCCTAAACATTCCTTCCAGTTTTGATGTGAACTGACACCCACATTCAGTCTGTGGAAGAAAAACATAAACATAAACAAGTAAATGGAGGATTTTCTATGAGAAATGTACAAAGAAGCAAACTCTTCCACACTACTGCCATCCTTCCTGTATTTTTCCAGTAGTTGCTCTATACCCATAGTCATCAGACTGTTAGTGTGTTTAAGAATAACCCAATGATTTACTTTTTAAATAAAGGTTTTCAGATGGTTTCAAAAATTCCAATATACTTCATTGAAGGTACAGCTCAGAATTATGTATTTCTTACAAGCACTTTTTTTTTTTTAAATAATCATACTCTGTGAACAGAATTACAGGGCAATTCCCCATTATCACTCCCCTTTTACTTATCTCCCCTCTACCCAGAATCCCTGCCATGCAAGAGAAGTTCAGCAAACACCAATGTCTCAGAACTTGAAAAATTATATATATAGACTGCTCAAAACAAAATCTATTGAGTAGTTTTAACTTATAGAAATCAATTAAATAATTTCCAATTACATGCGACTGATGTTCAACCCTGTGTTATCACTTGATGCACTCTATTCCATCCTGCACACACCTTACCTTTAACTTAGATATCATATTTTTTTCAGAGTCATCAGAAACACTTTTATTTGTGAGAAGTCTCCTTGCCAAGTGTTGTTTATAATAACGTTCAAATACGTCTTTTTCTTGCATAAACCTAAAAAGGACCATTGCCTTATCCAATATTGTTTCTACTTCTTGTTCTGTTAGCTGAAAAATTAATTGAAAGACTATTTAACAAATATAAACTGTTAGTTATAAAGTAGCACCATAATTCACCTGTAGTTTAAGCACTGTCTCAAAACAACCATTTGGCAGAGCCATGTCAGAAGGGATCTGGCCAGAGAAAACATCTCCAATTTCATCAAGTAACACCATCAAGAAACCCCAGCATCAATTGGGGCTACAGTATAGTTCCAATCCTTAGGAGGCTACCATGAAATGGGAGTCATAAAGTCACATGGCTGGATTAAAGAATGACTTAGAACAGATAAAATAAAATTTTAATCACAAAAAGATCTTAAGCTCTTTGCATATATCTTCAAATTCTTAGTATCAAGTACTTTGATACAACACCAGATGAGAGCAAGCAAGAATCTGTGGTAAAGATAGTTGCTTTCTGGTTTACTATCTCTATGGCATAGGCAATCTCACAGAATTGTTTAAAAATTCTGGCTGCTGCCAATTACATAGTGAAAAAGTACCTGTGATAACTGAAAATACCTTTAATCCCTTTTCAAAGACCACAGCATGTTTAAGCACAGCAAAAAGCCATACTTTATTTTGTATCTATAAAATTCCCTCATTTTATACACAATTTTGTAGCTACCAATAAACTATATTTTCGAATGCATTCATACTTACCCCTTTGACTCCCTTTTTCAGTTTATCATCAATAAATAATGAGAGGTATTCAGGGGACCTGGAGTTGAGGTTGAGAAAATACTCAAAGTCACCCGCAATAGTTTGTTTAAAGAGTCGGTCATTATTGAACGATTCCTGGAGGAAGCGATCAAACCTACTCTTCAGATCCAATAAGCCCTTCCAAATGAAAACAAAGAAATTCAGGGTACATTACAATAACTTTTCCATGAACAATACACTATCACCATCAATGTTACCTCTCCTTTATTGTCAATGAAGTGTACATTCAGTGTTAAACTACATATTCTATATTATTTTCATGTCTCTATATAAGCTTATATTAAAAATGTCAGTGATTAGGATAAATATTCTATCTTCCAGTTGTATATCACTCTGAAAATGAACCAAAGAACTTTCTCTCTCCTCTATTCTTGAACAAATGGGTTAGCCCAACATTAGCTTTGAAAAGTACACTAAAAAGGATGTTAACATGAAAAACCTGGGGCATGATTTATTCATAGCATTGCCTAAAAGCAAAACATTCTGAAACAGAAAGTACTTAACCAAAATAGTAATTTTGTTCTGACACATTAAAGTACAGAAACACAAAGGCATACAAAGGAGTAGATTTCTTGAGGTCTTTTAAAACAAGATCTTCATCACACAGGTTAGTAAATCAAAAGCAGCAGGTGAGTATGGTTTCCTGAGATAAAAGCACATTTTACAACTCTTAAAATTTTAGATTAACTACACATTAATTTACCTTTGGGACAATTAAAAAAATAAAATCTTAACAAATACAAGTAACCTTCCCTTGTTAAAATTACTTCATCATGGCCCTCCCTTGTGGCTCAGCGTGTTAAAGCACAGCACTAAGAAGCTAAAGCCACTGCAGCAGGGTTGACCACATGGTGCAGCAGGGTTGACCACATGGCGCGGCAGACCTCTCCTGACCCGCCCGCTGCTCCCCTCAGCAGTGTACTTCGTCATCTGCCTGTTCTGCTCCCCACTCTCTCTCTGGTGAATCCTCTCACCGCCCTGCACCTCTGGCCTGTACTCTGGTTCTGTATGCATAAATAAATAAATATTAAAAAAAAAATTACTTCATCATAAACTTAAGAGAATCAAACTTCTGTATTTCCTTACCTGGATATAGTCAACAGGATTCTTCCCTTCTCCCTCCTCAGAAACAAGGGCTTTCCCCTGTTCTCTCAAATAAGAACTCATACACTCACACATTGTTTTCAAACCATTTGGCACACGACTAAATAGCTTGTACATGCAGGCAAGATCTGTGAACAGAAAGACATATAAACAGGCTACATTAAAGATTAAGAAAAACATGGTAATCTCTGATCTGTAATACTCAGAAGTTTATTCCTCCATTACTGCCATTTGCTAACCACATGAAAGCTGCTAAAAAAAACCCAGCAAAACAGAAAAACTAAAATAGGCTAGTTAATGTTTATTACTGCAATGTATGAAGTAAAGCTTTCAGATGAGATGGTCTTAAAAGCACCAATAGAATGTCTTAGCAAATTTTAGTTTACCTGGAAGAAAAGCTTCCTAAACAAAGATTAAAAAAACAAAGGTTGAAATCTAGGGTTCAACAGAATTTATCCTATATAATTCTAACTTAGAACCCACTGATACTACAAAATATCAAGAGTAATTATGGTATAATTGGTAATCAAGGAAAAAAGAAATTAAAAACCAAGTCTTAACAGCTGTTTTCTAAAGTGTTTATCTCAAAAATTCAAACGATAACCATAACAATAAATATTCCAGGATTTACTTCTTTACACAGCTAAGTGAAGTTTGTATGAAATTTATAGCTTAAATTCCTATTGTTTAATACTCTTACTTCCTAATACTTTCCAGGTGATGTCCCAAGCCCATGTATTTAAAAAATTGGTTTATTTTGTTGTATTGGTTCTATTTAGAATCACAACATTCTAAATTCCAATTTTTCACAAGATTAAAATGTGGAGTTAAAATAATGCCTTTCCATGTCTTTCTTTGAAGTGACTTACTGGGAAATTACTGGGAATTATGACCTTTACAAAAATAGAAAAAAGGTTTATAATCAAGAACTTTCAAACATAAATCATTTCAAGATCAGGTTATGGGAAAGTATTTTCTGTAATGTACCACATAGCAACTATTCTAGACTTATATTTGCTACAACTCCTAAATGTTATCACTGTAGCAAGAAAAAACCATAGGCAATATATAAATAAATGAATATGACTGTGTACCAATAAATACTTATGGATGTTCAAACTTTAAAAATAATGATATATTCCTTTGATTTTTTCTCTAATGAAACAGGTGGTAGGCCAAATTCAGCAGATAGGCTATAATTTGCCTTTCTGCTCTGTATTTTTAAGAGCCATTTAGACTAAAATTAAGGTTACATGAATTTTTAAAACACAAGCTTTATAGAACAGCATTCTAAACTTCGTTTCTGTGATTTTTAAAAACAAATTTTATTAAAAAAATTTTATTAATAACTTGTCCCAAGTGATTTATTTACACATGGAAAATGTTTACCTCAATTTCTCGTATTTGGCATAAATTATAACCATATTTCCTCTGTTAAAAACAGAAACAACTGTCAGCAATAATTTACTGACCTGTACTACAATAAAGTTGGTTTATCAAATAATTCCAAACTGGTTCTCAACTTGTCTATTTTTGTTCCCATGTTGTGACCGTTTTAATTGTGTATATATATAAATTCATACCATTCCCTTGTATTTAATTCACTGTATATAATGTATGGGGCAGCAAAAAATGTAACAGAAGATTAATTAAATCATTTCCAAACACAAAAGGACAACAAAAATGAGGTCTTTTTAAAAATTACATTTCATAGTGCCAGTGCATTTAATGACCCATCCAATTCTTCTTTCATGTACAGTGAAAAGTTTTATGCTTTCTGACTTATGAGACATTTGGTTGCATAATGGTAAAAGACCTCTAAAAAATTCTCAGCATACTGCTAAAGAGCAGAGTCTCCACAATTAAGACATTTTGTAATTAGGTTTCTAATGGACAGACAGGAAAACAGAAGCATGGATTTTATAAATTAACTTAGAAAAAGAGCTATTTACTTAAAACATCAAGCACTAAGCAGAGAGCTATGGTATGTCTATTATGGTCTTTCTTCTTTTATGTACTAATTCAGCAGCTGCCATGTGTCAGGCGTAACACAGGGCTTTGTGCTGGCTACAGAGATACTTTAATTCAGCCATGTCCAAAACTGTCTCCATCAAAAACATTTCCTACACCCCAAACTCAAGCCCATTTATCATCTTGGCCCCCTCCCCAGAAAAATAATAAACAGAAAATTTATTGATTCTCATTTTGTTTAAGCAGAAGAAAATGCTTAAACCATAAAGTTTTCATGGTTTAGGAGTCATTTAGATCAGGGTTGTCAAACTACAGCCCAAGGGCCAAATACAACCTACTACCTGATTCTGTACAGGTTTTGACCTAAACTATGGTTTTCGCATTTTTAAGGGGGGGCGGGGGGCGTGCAGAAGAGTTTATTAGAAACATAGTAAAGCTAATTCATTTATTCATTTGTGTTACTATCTATGACTTTCTCAGTATCATATGACCCAGCACCTAAGATATTTACTGTGAGGCCCTTCACCAAAAAAAAAAGTTCATGCTTAGATGTTGGATATCCAGGAATATCTTACGTTAGAGAAGATGAAAAATTATTACTACTATTTTGCTTTCACTAAAGAGGCTTAACCCAAAGGATTTTTAAAAAAGTAATCTTTCTGGGCCCTCCCTAGTGGCGCAGCAGATTAAAGCACTGCACTAAGAAGCTAAAGCCACTTCCACATGAGTTCGATTCCTGCCTGCCCCGGAGGTGACCACATGGCGTGGCAGACCTCTCCTGACCCGCCTGCTGCTCCCCTCAGCAGTGTACTTCGTTGATCTGCCTGTTCTGTACCCCACTCTGTCTCTGGTGAATCCTCTCACCCTCCGCATATCTGGCCTGTACCCCAGTTCTATATGAATAAATAAATCTAAAAAAAAAGTAACCTTTCTGGTTTATAAAAACAAATTTACATACAACTTGTCTAGAATTTATCACATATATAGAAATATAAACATTTCATAACACAAAGCAAGGAAGCATGAAACCACCTCCTTTCCCCTCATAATTTCTTCCCTTAAATCTTCTCTCCTTGAGTCATTTTATATTTTGTTTTCTACTATCTCCACAGGTTATGACATCAACAGGCAATACTTATTTATTTACTAAGGACTGGCGAAAATACTGTCATTCCTTGATCTAGGAAGCAGGAGAATAGCAAGATCACCAAGTTCATTTTTTTTTTTTACCAAGTTCATTTTTTTCAATACTATTATCAGTTATAAATTCAAAATTTTAAACCAAAGGCTTTAGAAATTAAAAGTGAGGGCAACAAGGTTGTTATTACTTCACTTAGTTATTTCTCTGAGGATAGGTGTCCCATAATAGCAGTCAGGAAAATAAAGTAAGAGTAATAAAGTCAAGAAGAGCAAATACTAAAGATTAAAGTTCAAAATGTTTACTGTTACTTTATAGTTCTTTTTCCTCCCTTTTTCAACTACAACTTCAGAGTTCCCCAAACTAACCTACAAATTTACCTAATTAAATTGACAATGAAGAAATTACTTTCAGCATCCTACTTATAACTTCCTCCCCCAAAAGAAAGCCTAAGAAAAGATTAAGATCAGAATTTCAGATTTTAAAGAGAACCACAAAAGCTGCAGGAGAGTATGGTGTATAGAGAGAGCCCCAAACCACTGACAAAACAAAGTGGTTGCGGAGGAGCTCACTGGTCTCATTGATGTTAGACTTAAAAAAAAAAAAAGTAAGGACAGTAAAGAGGAAAGGAAAAAGGCCATTTAATTCACTAAAAATATCTAAAATCCTCATGGATGAGTGTAATGTCTTAATGACACACAACTCTTATAAGTTATTCAAAACTTCTTTTAATGTAGGGAAATTATTAAGAATCTAGAATAATTTTAAGAATTTAAACGTATTTCAACACTTACCTTCTGTCTTTCCATTTTTCAACATATGTACTAGCCCAGAATTTTCCATTTCTACGATAGTTTTCATGTGCTTGGAAATGAGTTCCCGCTCAACCACCTTTACAATCGGCTCTTCAGTTGATTTGTCTAGGCAGTGCATCACCCGTTCTATTTCTTCATTAATTCTAGCTTCAACTTTCTTTATATATACTGAAGCACTGTTTTCTGCTAAAAATTTCTGGCTTTCCATCTGCAAATAAGAAGCATGATTTTTAAAAAATGCATTAGCAAACTGTGTTTCTACTTAACAGGGTTTGGAATAAAGTGTTTATCATAAACCAAATTAAGTAAGAGCACTATTATCATCTTATGATGTTTCTTATTACACCTATTCAAATAGTTTGGAGTCTGTATTTTAAAGACTACAGTAAATAAAATTAGTTATTTTAAAAATAATTTTTTAAAAAAGATTTATTTTTACTTATTTTACTTAAATGCAGAAGAAATGGGATGTAGGCAGGTGCAGAGAGGATTCACCAGACAGAGTGAGGCTCGAACAAGGGAATCTATTTTAGTACCCTACTAAGGGAAGCAGCAGGTGAAATGGGCAAGGTCTATTTCTCCATGCCTGAGCTAACTCCCTGGCTAGGGGTCAAACTCAGGCCATGGAGATGATAGCATTGACCCCTGTACCACCAAAGAGGCCCTAAAAAAATTAACACATTATCCTTCAGTAGTGCTTTTCAAACTCTGCCAAAGTTCTCCAATTAGCAGTAAAAAAATAAACACATGCCAATGAGTGTTAGTGCAGATGAAGCATCTAACCACAAGCAAAGAGCAGAAAATATTCCTTTCATTTGCTTTAATGTTAAGTTATGCCTAGAAGATTCATTATGTCTATCAGTTTGCTAGCAAAGCATTAGTTACTCAGGTTTCCCTGACACCCCATACTCTCAGTCTCAAAGGAATATACTTAAATTTGGGAAACAGCACTTTAAAATAACTATTTTCTATACTAACATCAGTCTCACAGCTGTTTCCACTAATTATAAACATTAATCCAAGTGATTTAATTTATTTAATTGGATTATGAATATATCTAAGACTAATAGAAGGTATGTTCATACCATAAACCATGCACAAAATTTAAAGGTACTCCCCACATTAATGAAAAAAAAAAAAAAATCTTAATCCTTGAAAATAATCCAGTTTCTAAGAACAGACATTAATACAACAAAAAGTCTTTATTAAAGATATCTCTTTACTATTAAACACAGTGTGTGTGTGTGTATATATATATATATATAGAGAGAGATATATAGTGTGTGTGTGTACACATTTCTCATATTCCCAATGTTTTATTAGTATCTGTATACTGTAATGAAGGAAGCTTACACTTCCACAGGTAAAAAAATGTCAAAAGTACACAGAATTTTTATATTACTAGAAAATACTATTTCCTGTATTATGAATTTATAGATTATAAAGCATGGTGCAGGCTTCATGAGTACAGGGCACATGAATACAGGGTTCATCCTTCTGATGAGCTCTAAACTCATTCAAGAAATAAAAAAAAGCATATCCATCCTTGTTTCTTTCTGGGTAAATGACACCAAAATTTACTGAGTTCTTTTTTTACATATATCTAATGACTTATGAATAACTGAGTGAATCAATGAGTTATGATTTTGTATTATTTACTTTTGGATAGTAATAGCTTACAACCTTGTAAGCAACACCATAAATAATAGTTGAGGACACTGTATAGTTTCTAATCTCAAGTGACTGTATATAGCATTTATTTATTTCTTAAAAAGTATAATACTGAGGGCCCCCTCTGGTGGCACAGCACTGAGAAGCTAAAGCCACTTAAGCATGAGTTTGATCCCTTCCCTAGAGGTGACCTCCTAACCCACCCGCTGCGCCCCTCAGCAGTGTACTTTGTTGATCTGCCTATTCTGCTCCCCACTCTGGCTCTGGTGAAGCCTCTCACTGCCCCTGCACCGCTGGCCTGTACCCCAGTTCTGTGTGCATAAATTAAAAAAAAAATCTTAAAAAAAAATTAAAAAGTGTATTATTGGAGTGAAAATTTTAGTTTAGTATTCAACTATGTCTGTTTTAGCAACACTACAAAGCTCCTAGTGTAAACTGCTCAGACAATGAACACTTTCAGGAAGGATGCCTGGTTACCAATCATTACTTGTCAATCCTGTCTTGTAAGTATTATCATAGTATTGTGTTACTGTTATATTTCATTACAAATCAGTGCTAATTTAGCTCCACTTTTAGCAAGTTAGCTGGTTTTGGTTATTAACTTGTACTACTGATCTATAATTTCCTTATCAACAGTCTTTTAGACAAATATACTATTGGATCACGCATACACTTATGTTTGTTTTACTATAATTTATATTAAATCTGCACTGTGAGACTTCACTGGTGACATATAGCCTGTGACTTTTTATGATACTTAAAATAATCTGTAATATACAAATAATGTTAAGTTTACTTCTAGGGTAGTAAGATTTTATAAAATAAGCTAAAACAAAATGCCTATACTTAAGTTCAAATGCTTTCATTTGTTTTCAATGAGTTCACATTCTTTCACCAGAAAGTGAAGATTACTTTTTTCTATTTCCAAAGGATAATATGAAAAAAATCAAAATGTTCATTATTAGTAACTACATCCAATAACCTCAACATCTTAAAAGAACATTTATTTGTATCTTCACTAATTACCTGAAAGAATTCTGCAGACATTTCCAAAAAAGGAGCCTCAAAATCTTCTTCATAAACAGATCGTCCTTCAAGACCTAATATCATTAACATCTGGCAAGCATTTCTTATTGCACCTCTGTCAAAAGAAGTTAAGCCACTTGATAATCAAATTAAAGATTCAGCAATAAAAGTGATTTAAAGTATTAGTAGTTAAAAAGACTTTCAGAATATTTTTCATCAAAGTAACCAGTTTTTTTTATAAGCAATTCATTAATAACATAAGTACTTAGAATAACTTTAATTGGAAACCTTACTGACTGCAGTTATTTATCTCAAATTGTTTTTATGCTGCTACAACTTAAAAATGTTAAGGAAAATATATTTTAAAAATGTATTTATGCATTTGAAGTAAAAAGGTGGCTTATCAGGAAGGAGGAGAGAGAAAATTTTTCTAATAGCTGCTTCAAACAGAGAAAGCAGTCTTGCCCATCTCAAGCTATTCTAGCTGCGGCATCAAAATGACACTACATTCATGTTAGAAAGGGGGAGAGAATATGACCTAAAAGGAGGGGCACAGTTGTTCTTAGTCATTTTAGACTATATTTGACAATTTTCTTCACATATGTTTCAAATGGAGGATAGCCAAAAGCCCTTAAAGATAAACAACAATATTATTACACACCAGAAAAGGAACAGAACGCCAGCAACAAAAAGGTCAAAGAAATCAAAAGGGAGGAATAACAACTGATTTGCTTTTACAAAATACATTAAAAGTTTAAGATGACTTCTAAAAATACAAGACATAAGCAGGTAAATGTTAACTATGATAAAAGGTTTTTGAGGATTTTTGTAACTCTTTCTTTACACTACTAAAATTGTGACAGTAAATCTGGTTCTAAAGAAATAACCACTTAAAACCAAATCCAAAGAGTAAAAAGAGTATTATACCGGTCTACAACTTCTCCTTTCCTTTCTCTTGCAATCATATCCAATAGCGTTTGTCTTAGATGATCCCTTATACAACCGTAACGTACAACTTGATCTCGAAAAATAATTAATCCCAAATTGTAGACATTCTCCACGTTATTTTGTTGTACATATACACGGTCCTGCAGTTTAAACAAAATCATATAAACATGAGTACAACTCTTAGAAACATGGGAAGAATCATCATGACTAGAATAATAAAACTGCAAAAGGAGTCAATTTTCAAGTGAAGAAATACTTCAAATTATCTTAAGCAACATGAATTTATCAAGTACCATCCTAGTACATAATAGTAATTTTTTCATGACTTACAACTACTACTGAAACAAAGTCTACAAAGGCTGCCTGTCTAATAACCCTAAGAAAAAGGAAGAAAATAAGCAAGTACTCCACTTGGGGGGAGTCAAATAAACAGAAAGTAGAGGATAAGGGAAGTAAGCAAGGTGTCCAGACCTCAGTTACAACATGCCCAAATATGGTTCTTACTTTCATAAATATTGTACTTAAAAGACATATTCTTTGATTTAAAACTGAAAGATGAATGAAATACAGATATTCTCTATCAACAACAGTTGACTGTTCACGAGTAAATACTAAATGGTACTAATTCTTAGAAAGCAGCATTGAATATTACATAATTAAAATATCTCTAAATTATACTATCACTTGAACAGATTAGTCGCTGGGAGTCATCTCTACTTTCCTGTCCTTACCAATATGACTGTAAGTCTCTCATGTTAGTATAGAGTACAAATAATTTAAAATTATTGACTATGAAGAACATACTTTCATGCATTACTTGAAAATCCTTTCTTACAACAGAAAATACTTAAACAAAACTAACTTCTGGTTCACAGAAAGATTAGTAATAGAATTCCCTTTTTGTTCTCTCTGTAATATCCTCTGGACTTTGGATTCTGTGAACCCCCCCTAAGATATAAAATTATAGCATGCTTGTAAGTACATACTCTGGAAAGAGAACCCAGTTTTTCACCAGATTCTTAAAGTCACCTGTAATGGAAAGACAGTTAAGAACCAACTATGAGTTCTGAACTTTTAAAAGAAACACTGCCGTATTAAGCATCGCCAAACAAAATTACAAGATGAACATGTGCAGAAGTTCATCATGTTAACAATGCAACTAAAATGGTAAAAATGCAAATTTCCGACAATTTTGAACTTTCAATCAGTAGCAGTCTCTTCCTATAGCATCATTTCTCCAACCATCTTCTTTCATTAACCTTACATAGGGGCCCTCCCTGGAGGCACAGCAGCTAAGCCAAGCTGTGGCCGCTTCAGTATGAGTTCAATCCCCGCACTGGAGGGTGATCCACATGCACAGACCTCGCATGTTCCCGTCAGCTTTGTACTTTGTTGATCTGCCTGTTCTACTCCCCCGCTCTGATGCTGGTGAACCCTCTCTTCGCCCCTCTGCCTCTGGCTGTACCCCATTTGTGTATGCATAAATAAATCAATCTTTAAAAAAAACTTTATATAGGGTATATACATAAGAATGGCAAGGAAAGTGGCTCTCTTACCACCTTTGATGCTTACATTTTACTTTCTCAATAATTCTGGTGTAAGCTCACATATTTTCAATCCTAACATGCATACAGTTCAAACTTTTCACTGATGATTTCTCCAATACGTTCTATTGACAATAGGTCAGAGCAGAAAGAGAGAGCTTCTGCTCCAACAGTAGGCCAACGGTGAGAGAATGTATCATCAGGCCGTCTTCAGAGCTGGCATAGGAAGTGCTAGTAATCCTGACCAATCTTTTAAGGTGCAACTGCTCTACAGGACTATGGAACATTAAGTGAATTGTGTAAAATATATATATATTAAAATGATATAACAAGTGTAACATAGGTCTATTAAAATCTTAATTACTTTAAGAAACCAAATGTATTTTATTTAGCTTAAGAAATGTCCAAGAACTAAGTTAGACTTTATTTTTTTTTTTGGTTAAGGGTACACTACTTTTAATTACAGAACAAAAAAGCACCTTCAGGATAAACTGTTAAGAGTGAAACTTTTTTAGTGTTGCCCATTTTTGGCTTTACTACAGTATTGTTTGTATGACATAAAATTCACACATTTTTAGGTCTACAGTTCAATAACTTACAGGAAAATTCCACAGCTGTGTAACCATGCAATGACCCAGCTTGACATATTTCCATTACCTCCCCAAAATTCTCTGAGTTCATCTGAAGTCAACATTCTCCCTCCCACTTTCTCTAAATTTCCTTTTCTACACATTTCATATAACTGAAATGTTGTAATATCTAACCATTTATTTGTGTGTGATTTTTACTAAGCAGAAAGTTGCTACTGTTCATTAATCTTGTAAAATGCCCCACTGTATTCATTTCTCTTTTTGTAACTATATTCTCATTGTATAGATAAAATGCACTTAATTCATACACTCATCAGCCAACATATATTATGGACTATTTTCAGTTTTTGTCTACCAAGAATGAATGCCAATATAAATATTTAGGCACAATCTTTTTGTGAACTCATGCTTTCATTTTTACGGGATAAGAGTTTTAGGAACTGGGTCATATGGAAATTACCAAGCTGTCTCTAAAGTAGATGTATCAGCTACTATACATTTTAAAATATGAAAACCATGTAATAGTAGGAAGAGTATTGGGTATGGAGTTAGGGATTCGTTGTGCAATGTGTGAATCTACCAATTGTTGGCTGTCTGATTTGAGAAAGTCATTTATCTACTGTCATCTTGGATAACACAAAGGAATGGTAAAAATAATCTTGAACTCCGAAATTCCTATGAAGCTTGACTCTGATCAAAAACTGACATATAGTAGGAATTAAAATATATCTTACTGTTATTTGTTTCCTATCAGTCTTTCCTGGCCTGGATTTCCTTCCTCCTAATCCTAAACACAGTGACGCCATCAATACCAAGTAGGTGAATCCGTGACTGTGGCTAAGCTATGGATTTCTACTATCTCAAATCCTCTGGCAAAAAGACAGAGAAGGGGCCAGGCACAGCTGATAAAATTCTTCAGGTATGCTAGCTAGGAACACACAGTTGGGAGTGATGGAGCAGAACACAGAACAGAGGATGACTGAGATCACGGTAAGTATATGCACTGTAGTACAAAAGCTTAGCCTTTGTTATTTAACCTGGGATTGTCATGATGTATATGATGGCAATAATTAGATGACATATAACATTAAGAAAAAGTTAACCCTGAAATTTGATTATAAAGAACTAATAAATGGAGAAAGTAAAACCCAAAAACTTGAGAGCAGCTATTTGATTAGTAATACTTAAACAGTCATTCATATTAAATATTTAGTATGTATGATTATATATCATCAAGCAAAATAAAGGCTCTGCAATACATGTAGTGGTTATGTATGCATGTGCTGAACAGAAATGCACACATTCATTGACAGTAACTTGTTATTTATTTGATAGATCTGAAATATTTGGATATTCAAAATCTTAGGTCTTGTGTATGTGGGAACATAACAGCAGTTTTCATAATGGATTCTAATAGGAATTGCTCTTTGCTAAAAGAAATAAATGACTAAATTTATGTAATACTAAGGTAACACTAGTCTTTATATGATTGTAAGACTTCTTAAATTTCATATAGTTCTGGGGAATTTTAAGAAAGATTTATTTGGAATCACAGTTCCAGTTAACCTATAACTAACTAAAAGAATACAATCTCAAAGACAATAAAATATTCCAGAAAGGAGAAAACAGTAAAGAATAACTTAAAAATATTTCAATCTTAGGCACTGGCCCAATGTGGATTACAGTTATCCAACATTAGTTATTTAGAGAGCTCAACAGAGACAGAAAAATCAGCTGTTGCTTATATTCTCCTTTTTAAAAATAAAATTTCAAATATAAAAATTTCCAAAAAGCACATTTGAAAGCATTAGATTTACTTACGAGATGTGAGTTTCATCACTACAGAGATATAACTTTTAAATTTCTATTTGTGGGTCTCTCTTAGGAGTTGCTAATCTCTAGGCCCAGCAAAACTGTAGGAGCCAAGAAATTTCACTGGACTCAGGAGTGAGAGGGAATAACCAATGATGGGACTGGCTCATTTTCCCTGTTTTTCAGAGGTGGAAGAAATCAGACTGTTTTCATATCTGACTTGAGCTATAAACTTGATAAACCAGCAAACATCATCTTTAAACAAAGTTCTAACTCACAATGCTACTATTCCATTTACTTCTAGTCTTGAAAGAATAGCTTTTATAAAGCCAATTTCCCTGCCAAAAACAACTGTAAAAGCTAGATAAGAAATCAAAAGCAGCACTTAATGCTTGCAAGCATTAAGTAGGACAGGCAGGAGTAAAGGTAGAGAGATGGGTCTCTCTCTCTCTCTTCCTCTGCTACAAGAAAGGGAATTCCAACCAACTTGTCTCCACATCAAAATCCCTCAGCAAATACGTCCATTAGTCACATTTATTAGATCGTGACTTTATTAGTTAGGGTTCTTCACAGTCCCAGCAAAAAAGATGCTACCAGGCTAACAAGGCTGTTGGCCCCTAAGGTCACAGATTTACTACTCCTACCACCTTGGAGAAGATTTGCCTTTTCTTCGTAACTGATGATGGCATCACCTAAATTCATACCAAGATACATAAATATTTAAGTAAAGTGTCAAAGCTCCGACTCAGCATGCAAAAGTATTCTTAGAGATGTCAAGGCATATTATACAAAATTATAGATTTTATGAAATCTAAACCTATGCAAGTTCAAAATGCAGCTTTACAACTCAGGGATGGTATTTAAAAAAATAAACACAGGGCCCTCCCTGGTGGCGTAGCTGGTTAAGGCACAGCACTGTGAAGTTATTACAGTCAATGCAGCATGAATTCGATCCCTGGCCAAGGAGCTGACCCACATGGCGTGGCAGACCTCTCCTGACCTGCCGGCTGCTTCCCTCAGCAGTGAACTTTTGTCAATCTACTTGTTCTGGTCCCCACTCTTTCTGGTGAATCCTCTTGCCCCCCTGCCCCATGCATCTCTGGCTTATACCCCACTTCTGTATGCATAAATAAATCTTTAAAAAATAGAAATAAAAAAACCTGCAGACAATGACATTCAAAATATAACAATTCT